GAGCTGAGGACGGCCCACGGTTTTAACGGGGACATCGGTACCATTCGCAGTGGGAGGTAACATCAGGTTGACCCTGTTTGGGTCCGTATGGGATGGCGTCTGGGTCCGGGCTCGGACCACGGTCTGCCAGTTTGTGACCCCTGAGCTATGAGGTATCCCACAATCCACTGTGCAGATCAAACCGAACAGATTCTTAATTAAAATCTTCTGTGTAAATAAACTCAACTTTACAATATATCAACCATAATCAGTATAGAGCCACATCAGGCCATTTGATCGTATAATTCAGCTTTGCCGCTTTTGTTTACTTTTACAGAAACGAAACTTAAAACCACATGATTCATTTGCATAAACTATAAGCACTGAAAAAAACAGCTCTTTCCTTCTGCACTGATGTGGTTCAGCTTCTGTTGGACTAAAGGACACGACTCAGTGGAATATATGTGTTTTTTCTCTGACAGAGGAGGTGCTGATGATGGTGAGTCTGTTCTGTGCGTGTATTGTATAGGAGATGGTTCAGGTTTAACTTTTCAGTGATCATACATGTGCAGGTCATACGAGCAGATTGTACGTGTGCAGGTTTAGCACACCTCTTTATTTTACACTCATTTCACTCATCTATGGTCACGTTATTTATGTTGGTCACTTTATTTATGTTCCTACTGTGTCGTGAAAAGACTGGAAAGTGTTCTGGATGATGCACACTCAACTTATGTTGCAGTAACCGGGATACCAGGGTCTCGGATACAAGCGCTCGAAATGAGTTTCCTCTGTAGGGTGGCTGGGCGCTCCCTTAGAGATAGGGTGAGGAGTTCAGTCACGTGGGAGGAGTTCGGAGTAGAGCCACTGCTCCTCCACGTCAAGAGGAGCCAGTTGAGGTGGCTCGGGCAACTGTTCCGGATGCCTCCTGGGCGTCTCCCTCGGCAGGTGTTCCAGGCATGTCCCACCGGGAGGAGGCCCGGGGAAGACCCAGGACACGCTGGAGTGACTATGTCTCTAGGCTGGCCTGGGAACACCTCGGGGTCCCCCCGGAGGAGCTGGAGGATGTGTCTGGGGTGAAGGAATCTGGGAGTCCCTGCTTAGACTGCTGCCCCCGCGACCCGGCCCCGGATAAGTGGAAGAAAATGGATGGATGGATAACCAGGATACATGCCACAGTATTCCAGTTACTATCGGAAGATACCAGCTACAGTATCCCAGTTTCTCATAACCACCTTAACCTGCCTTATTCAGGACACTGAAACCGGGATACAGTCCAGTGCTTGTGTTAACAGTTGTAGCAGCTAATGTGGCTAAGAAGTGCTGGCGATTCTTTGCAAGTGGATGCGTTCTGACCTATACATGCATCCCAAATTTCGAACTTCCGGTCATCGCACAATTCATACTGCAAAGATTCCTCCGAAAAAGTGAGCATCAAACCACCATGTTTGTTTTCCCAGTGGGATGCATCAATTGTCAAAGTCGATCTTTTCAAGTCTTTTGAACCATATCACTTTTGTTTCTGGTTCTGATATTATCTAATTTTATTTTTGGGATTCGGACATCGTAATTATGTGGCTGTTGGATCCTAACAGTGTAAAACGGCTCAAGAAACGGGCTTCAGAATTTCAATAACTGCAAAAGGGAATCAGATGTGTGTGACTGCAAACCTAATGTTTTAACACAGATGATATATAAAGCTTAAATTACACATTTACTCACAGCCGTGTGATATGGCAGAAAATCCTGCTATTTTAATTTGTGAACTTACACACATGCAGACATAGTTTTAATCAGTGCAATTTAACAATAAAATTGTCCTAATTTCTTCTAATTCTGCTTCAAACATCCTTTTACTAACAGGAGATTAGCTTCTCGATATAAACCCCACTTGCTTGTCTTTAATTGTTTGAAATGGTTAGATCTAGTTAATATAGCATGTTCAACCTATAGATTTAAGAATTATTTTCTTTTTCTTCTTTTTCACAACTTAAGAAGGCTCCACCCATGAACATAAGAACCAAATGTGCAATGGGGATCATGGCCCTTTTCCCTTCGCTTAAGGATCTCTCAAATACAATACTCTCAATAAGGACATGAGTAATGTAACTACAATCAAAGTGTTTTTCTTATCAGTATTACATGTGCAGGTGTAATGCATGCCCCAATTAATGTCTGCCATTATATGAAAATGTTTTGATGCATGCAGCAATGAGGGTTACATTACATGGAAGTTAAAAAACATGAAGCGAGAACTTGGTCTTGGTAAAAGGAGAAGCAGCTCTTCAAATAACACCAAAGAAAAGGGGTGAGAGGTTGAAAGAGTGGTGACCACGAATCAACAGTTGGATGGAGACCAGTGTTTGGAGGCCATATCTCTTCTGAAGCACAGCACAGATGCAGAGCAGATCTTCATGAAAATGAAACAAACCTTTCAATACAGACAGAAACTGATTCATGATCCACAGAAGTCCACCAGTGTTCACTGTCTTTAGGTTCCTTGATACCAAAGGATTGGTAAGTTTATAACTATTTTTTAAAAATGTCTATTGTATTGGAGAAAAAAAATAAAAAATTCACTATTGCTGTTTTATTTATTTTTTTCTTGTAAGACCTCCAGTTGCTGTTCAGATAGGAGATGTCATTAAAGCTTTTGGAAAAATGGGGAACCTTACTGAAGACCAAAATCATAAAAGAAGCAAATAACCTCACCAAAACACCCACACTTGAATCTCTCGTCCAAGCTGCTGAGGGGATTAGAGTCACATTTTAGTCATAATGTTCCACAGTTTGGCATTAAACGTCATTCATCTGTTAATGTTCTTTAAATTTGTTTTTAATTTTCTATTTCTGGAACCATGCAGCTGACTGAAGTTTTCCCGTTTTTCAGCCTGGGATAGTGACATGTCTTCACTGCTGATACAGGTGTATCTCCTGCTTCCTCCACCTGGTGGCAACAAAAGACCTGTGAAGGTCAGCAAACGGGAAGCGGTGGATCATGATCAGCAAGTTTCACAAGGTCAGTGAGTTCAGATTCCTGTCGCTTTAAAAAAATATTATTTTACTTATACTGAATTTAATTTCCACCTATCAACATTCTATAAACTATCAACCACATTTGATGTTTCCTCAGGTTGTTCATGTCCTCATATATATATATATATATATATATATATATATATATATATATATATATATATATATATATATACATACAAACACACACACACACACACACACATATATATATAAAAATGTGTTTCTCACCTTCCACGGTGGTTGGTCTCTCACCCTCATTGAGCTCGGGTCCTCTACCAGAGGCCTGGGAGCTTGAGAGTTCTGCGCAGTATCTTTGCTGTTCCCAGTACTGCACTTTTCTGGACTGAGATGTCCGTTGTTTTTCCCGGTATCTGTTGTAGCCACTCTTCCAGTTTGGGGGTTACAGCCCCGAGTGCTCCGATCACCACAGGCACCACTGATGCCTTTACTTTCCAGGCTCTCTCCAGCTCTTCCTTGATCCCCTGGTATTTCTCTAGCTTCTCGTGTTCCTTTTTCCTGATATTACCATCGCTTGGTATTGTGATGTCCACCACCACGGCTCTGCTCTGTTTCTTCTCCACCACCACTATGTCTGGTTGGTCCATCACCATCCTGTCAGTCTGTATCTGAAGTCCCACAGGATCTTGGCTCGGTCATTCTCCACAACCTTTGGAGGTGTTTCCCACCTTGATCCTAGGGTCTCCAGCCCGTACTCTGCACAGATGTTTCTGTACACTATGCCCGCCACTTGGTTATGTCGCTCCATGTTTGTTTGCCTGCCAGCATCTTACACCCTGCAGTTATGTGCTGGACTGTCTCAGGAGCCTCTTTGCACAGTCGACACCGTGGGTCTTGTCTGGTGTGGTAGATCTGGGCCTCTATTGCTCGAGTGCCCAGGGCCTGCTCTCCTGAGCAGCCAGGATCAGTGCCTCTGTGCTGTCCTTCAGACCAGCCCTCTCAAGCCATTGGTAGGATTTCTTGATATCAGCCACTTCAGTTATGTTCCAGTGATACGCCCCATGTAGGGGCGTAGATATATATGTGTGTGTGTGTGTGTGTGTGTGTATGTATATATATATATATATATATATATATATATATATATATATATATATATATATATATATATATATATATATACACACACACACACATTTGTGCAGACCCCTATAAGGAATTGGTTCGACATCTCAACTTTAAGCATGCATTTTATCCTGGGCAAAGGTTCCTTCTGACTTGTGATTAAAGTGGATGTCATCAGAAATTACAGACATTCAGGTTTTAGAAAGCATCTTGACGTTAAACATGGCAATGGTAATGTACATTCTCAATAACAATTACAAAAAGGCATGTTAATGTTGCCTTTTCAGATGTATGTATTTGCATTGTACAATGTAATGTAAACTTACAGTTTTTCAAAAATGTTATTGCCAAATAAAATTAACTGACAGCACTGGATCTTATTTTTGTTTGATATCATGTTTATTTTACTCTTATGATTTAACAAATTATGGGTTGTATTGCATTTTTAATTTAGAATATACATAGTGGTCAAACAACACTAAATAGGGTACTTTAGTCTTTACAGTGATGGTTTTACATTTTTTATTGGCCAAATGACACCAAACTGGATCATAATTTTACTCTTCACAGTGGCCAAGCAACACTAAGATGGATAAAAACTATGAATTTCATAGCGGCCAATTAACACCAAATTAGATTATATTTTTGCTCTTTAAAGTGACTGATAGTTACACTTAATAGAGTTTAAACAACACTAAGATTTAGTCTGTGACTGACAGATAAGAGTACATTTTTACACTAGCAGTTAGCAGAGTTTGGACCCAAATACACACTGAGATCGGTGTTAAATGTACTCTTAAAGTGTAACATATATACTGTCATTTTTGCTGTGTAGTCACCTGTGTGTGTGTGTGGGGGGGGGGGGGGGGCGTGGCTCGTGTAAGGGGTGGGACTTGTACCTGTAGATGAAGACAGTGACGGTGAGGGTCATGATGAAGATAAAGAAGAGGATGATGGACACGAGCTGATGGATCGTGATCGTCTCTGAGGAGAAACAGATGGTTCAGTCCTGGTTCAGTCCTGGTTCAGTCCTGGTTCAGTCCTGGTTCAGTCCTGGGTCAGTCCTGGGTTAGTCCTGGTTCAGTCCTGGTTCAGTCCTGGTTCAGTCCTGGTTCAGTCCTAGTTCAGTCCTGGTTCAGTCCTGGGTTAGTCTTGGTTCAGTCCTGGTTCAGTCCTGGTTCAGTCCTGGGTTAGTCCTGGTTCAGTCCTGGTTCAGTCCTGGTTCAGTCCTGGTTCAGTCCTGGTTCTCACTGGCTAGGCAGAGAGGGTTGTCGTTCTTAAACCCGCACAGGGGCACGTCTCGTGGGGGGGCCCCTGAGAGCCAGTGCAGCTGAGTTCCAGGGACAACGGCCAGAGACTCATCTGACCCAGTGAAGACCATCACGATCTGGGGACAAACAGGACAGAAAGCGGCTCGTTACAGTTTGTGTCAGAGAGTGAATCAGTGTCTGTCGAGCTTTATTTGACTCTTCGGACACAGCACTGTATGATCTGAGCACTGCAGCTTTAACATGAGTTCTGATGAGATTCATTTTCTGTGTGATGTAAACACTGTTTTATGTTTTACCAAAGGTTTTACAGAACATGTTTTCTCAATTCTGACAGTGTTTTTTTTTTTTTTTTTTAAAGATTAAGATTAAGTTACAACCTGTTTATTCAAATATTGGGCTAAATTATTTTTTATTTTTTTTATTTTTATTATTATTATTATTATTTATTATTATTATATTATTATTATTATTATTATTATTATTATTATTATTATTAATATTATTAATTAATTAATTTATTTATTTATTTATTTATTTTTTAAATAAATGAAAATACTGTTTTACATTTAACATGTTTTCTCAATACTGGCAATGTTTTTAAAAGCCTACAGCAGAGGGCTTCAACCTGGAGCTCAGGAGCTACCGTTAACTCTCCACTCCCTTTAGCTCCTCAGAGGAATTCTGAATTACCTGTATTATCCTGAAAAAGTTAAATTTGATGAATTAAATGCCTATTACCATAGTACATGTATTATTTTGATCCCTAAACTTTGTGTACTAAGAAATGGATAATGGTTTATGTTTTAAAGGTATCTAAGTGCACCTCATTTAAGACCATGGCACTTCAGTGTCGGCCTACTCCATTTCTTGTGACAGCAAAAACTAGTAGCTCTCTGGCATTTTCGTTTGGTAAAGTTAGGTCACCAGAGGAATAATGTTGGAGACCCCTGGCCTACAGATTAAATAGCCTACAACATTTTTACTGAAATATTAATTGAAATGAAAACACTGTTATATCAGTAATGGCATGAAATGTTTTCTGTAACAAAACGTTGTTGGGCATATTTTTGCTGAAGAGGGAGGGTTTTTGAAAATGATTGGGCGGAAATCACTTAACACAATCTGGCAACACTACCAGTCACAGTAACACACTCTGAAGAACATCCCTGCAGAGACAGGCCGCGATAAACTCAACTCTTTATGCACTGACACAATAACAGTGATTGCAGGCTCATGTCAGAGAAACATCTTTGAGTGAACAGTATCATCAAAAAGCACAGCTGTGTGCCCAAAATATAACATCTTTTTTTTTTTTTTTTTGCACTAGGTGATTACAATTTGAGCTGATTTGAATAGAAGTCAGAGCAGGACTGAGCAGTGGACAATTACTGCTGTAATGTCCTGTACACTGGTATGAGCCGAGCTCACCTGTCACACTTACACTCAGTCCAAACTTCTGCAGCACATCTCTTAACCGATGTCCTGTCAAAATGGCCTACCCATCGATTTGAGCTCCCGAGGCACAGATGGGATACACTTCCCTCCCTGGATCGTGTGTACATTTTTTACATTTTACATCCATCAGGACTAATCAATAACAAGTGCTATAGAAGGCAGATCTTCCACTTGGAGGACAATTTTGGCTACTTTTAGTTTTTTTTCTTGAGAAAACATGCCTAAAGCTCAGAAGAATTAGTATTATAATAATAACAATTATTATTATTTTTATATTATTATTATTATTTTGGCACAAATTTGGCAATCTTGTGCCGAATTGTCATTTTGTTTACACAAAGGCTCACAGCATCAAAACCCTTTGTCCTAGAGATCTGAAATTCTATACAGTTGTTGCCAACAACTTGAACAATGAGTGTAGTGAGTCACAAATGCCTAGCATGAAGTATGCCCAAGCTAAGGCCTTTATTTTTTTTCTTTTTTTTTTTTTTTTTTAAGCAAAAAAATAAAATAAAAATTCAAATTTAATTGACTGTACTGTAGGTTAGGCAGCACTCACAGTCTTCATGTACATATCTACAGAAACTAGAAGGTCTAAGCTTTAGAATGGTGCCTCACACAAGCATGTGGGTTCTAAGGTTTTCTTTTAATAAGCTATGGCATTTGGGTATGTCTTACCATTGTGCACACACCAAAATGAAGCGGGTGGCAACAGGTTAAAAACACACAGTTCTATCTTTCATATCTAGAACGTTAAGTACTTATCGTGGCAGGTCTGGTTGTATGCAGTTGTGTATTTTCACTTTTTAGATAGAGGAGTTGTGTATTTTAGCTGGTACACAGACAAGTTGTGTGTAGTATAGTTGTGAGTAGTTGTATTAGTTGTTAAGTGCGTATGAAAAACCCCTCAGTTGTCGAGGCAGAATCCACATCAAAAGGAGAAATTCAATCTGTCAATTGGACAAAAGTTTATTTGCTGCTTCTTCAGTTCGGGTCAAAATGCTGGTGGATACTCCCTTATATCTGCCAAAGTCCAGCCAAAGGACAAAACACCAAGACACAAACAAAACAACGTGCTCTACTCCATTCAAACACAGGACCTCAGTCTGCTGTACATCACCACTTAAAAGCCTCCTTTGAGGACAGTGAGGTACAGATCTGAGCCAGAGAAAAGAATTGGTTTGAGAGGAGAGTTAAAGAGGATATTTTTGTTAAGAAAGAGAATCCTTCTCTAAACAGAAATGGAGACTCGGATAACATCTATCTCTTATTTACAACTCCATCCTCAAACCTAAATCAAAACAAACAAGAGAACAACAGATGTATCCAGGTCAGGTCCAGAGGTGTGGAAGCTCCAGTATGGCCCTGAATGATTCTGCTAATATGACCCCACACCCTGTACAGGTCAATAGGCCGAGCTAACAAACAGAAACTGTAAACAAGTGTGTGTGTTAGTTTCAGAGTAGTTTCAGTGTATTTAGCTCCTCCCTGCAGACAGATATAAGGAAGTGTCACCAGCGTCTGAACACAACTGAACAAACAGTTTGAATGAGCTGGGAAACTTATTCAACCTAAATAAACGTTTGACCAGTTGACAAATAAAATTTCTCCTTTTGCCATAAGTTGTGTGTAGTTGTGTGCAGTTGTATATCTGTAGACCTTTATGTAGTTGTATAGTTGTGTGTAGTTGTATAGTTGTGTGTACCTGTAGAGTTGTGTGTAGTTGTATATCTGTAGAGTTGTGTGTAGTTGTATAGTTGTGTGTAGCTGTAGAGTTGTGTGTAGTTGTATATCTGTATACTTGTGTGTAGTAGTAGAGTTGTGTGTAGTTGTATATCTTTAGAATTGTGTGTAGTTGTATAGTTGTGTGTAGTTGTATAGTTGTGTGTAGCTGTAGAGTTGTGTGTAGTTGTGTGTAGCTGTAGAGTTGTGTGTAGTAGTATAGTTGTGTATAGTTGTGTGTAGCTGTAGAGTTGTGTGTAGTTGTAGAGTTGTGTGTAGCTGTAGAGTTGTGTGTAGCTGTAGAGTTGTGTGTAGCTGTAGAGTTGTGTGTAGCTGTAGAGTTGTGTGTAGCTGTAGAGTTGTGTGTAGTTGTAGAGTTGTGTGTAGCTGTAGAGTTGTGTGTAGTTGTATAGTTGTGTGTAGCTGTATAGTTGTGTGTAGTTGTAGAGTTGTGTGTAGCTGTAGAGTTGTGTGTAGTTGTAGAGTTGTGTGTAGTTGTAGAGTTGTGTGTAGTTGTAGAGTTGTGTGTAGTTGTAGAGTTGTGTGTAGCTGTAGAGTTGTGTGTAGCTGTAGAGTTGTGTGTAGTTGTAGAGTTGTGTGTAGTTGTAGAGTTGTGTGTAGCTGTAGAGTTGTGTGTAGTAGTATAGTTGTGTATAGTTGTGTGTAGCTGTAGAGTTGTGTGTAGCTGTAGAGTTGTGTGTAGTTGTAGAGTTGTGTGTAGTTGTGTGTAGCTGTAGAGTTGTGTGTAGTAGTATAGTTGTGTGTAGTTGTGTGTAGCTGTATAGTTGTGTGTAGCTGTAGAGTTGTGTGTAGTAGTATAGTTGTGTATAGTTGTGTGTAGCTGTAGAGTTGTGTGTAGTTGTATAGTTGTGTGTAGTTGTGTGTAGCTGTATAGTTGTGTGTAGTTGTAGAGTTGTGTGTAGTTGTATAGTTGTGTGTAGTTGTGTGTAGCTGTATAGTTGTGTGTAGTTGTATAGTTGTGTGTAGTTGTGTGTAGTTGTATAGTTGTGTGTAGCTGTAGAGTTGTGTGTAGTTGTATAGTTGTGTATAGTTGTGTGTAGCTGTAGAGTTGTGTGTAGTTGTATAGTTGTGTGTAGCTGTAGAGTTGTGTGTAGTTGTATAGTTGTGTGTAGTTGTGTGTAGCTGTATAGTTGTGTGTAGTTGTATAGTTTTACCTGATACACAGAGGAGTTGGTGTCACTCAGGTCCCACAGGGCAAAGTCCGTCTCTCGGTCTCCGTTCTCGTCCACGTGCAGAGCTCCAGTCACTCCTGAGGACACATGTGTGTGTGAGTGTGTGTGAGTATGGGACACACAAAGCTCAGCATCTTCTCTGTCAGGACAAATAAACTAAAGAGAAATAAACAAATGATTTTTTCACAATCGCTTTAGAAAGTGGACACATTATTCAACCCCAAAGACGAGAGTGTTTGAGCTGAAAGGACTTTAAACCATAAGATTAATGTAAAGTGTGTGGAGCCGATCACACACAAAGATTGAGAAGGTTCATGAGAAGATCGGAGATTTCTTTTAAAACAGTGAACCTCCCATAGACCCACAGACCTCTGCACAACATCTGAAATGAAACAGGAGCTAAGAAATCCAGCATGAAGGCAAGGCAACTGAGAAGAGCGTAGAGCACTGCCTCTGTGAGGGAGCAAAGAAACTGATGATGTTACAGTCAATGAAGGTTTATTTCAGACTCCAATGTCTCCATATAGAACATAAAAAAGACTGAAAACACACAAGACAGTAGTCATGTCTATAGTCCATATCAGCAGTTCCTCCAGTGCCTCCAGAGTTCAGAGGTGAACCTGACACTGCTCTGCTCAGACATTATTAAAACATTTAGTATTTCATTTTGTGAATCCTTAAGGTGCTTCATAAATTTATGAACAATGTTTCTGATCACAGTGTTAAGTGGAGGGACATTATTCTGCACAAACAGCAAACTGACACTTGTCCATCGAGGGACGTTCAGCAGGAAATGAAGTGCATCATTATACACGGCAAAGAGAAGAGTGTTAAAACTGACTCTCACAGAATCCATTCGAACATTTTCCGAATTTATCTGAGTCCAATCTGTTCTAGAGTTAATTTAACATTTTTGGAAATGTTCATTAAGTAACACTGGACTAAAGATCCTATTTAACCCTGAAATCAAGAGTTATATTAAACAGATCACACTTTGTGTAATCTTAGCTAAACAACACACAGAGGTGTTTTATTTTTACACTTTATTTGAGTTGAGTTAATTTAAGATTCAATTATGGACAAAACTAGTTCAAACTGGTCTTTTTTTGCGAGAGTTTGAAATGGTGTTTGGAAGTTGAGGACCCCCTTGAAAACGAGATGGTGACACATTTCAAGGGGCTTATCCTCCAAACAAATAAATTCAAATTAAATTCAAATTCAAGTGCCAAATTAACACTAAGGGAAGTTCAATGAACACTAGGGGAAGTTAAATTAACTTCAACAATAGCAACTTTGGGAAATAACCCCAACTTGAATGCCCATTTCACTTACAAATTGTTATATAAATATTTCACCATGAAATTTGAATCCTCCAGTTTTTGCTGTGTCTGCAACCAGCAACTTGTTAAATGTAGTTTTACTGTAAGTGCACCACAGGTGGGCAGTATAGAGTGGTGTATTTTCACATTGCTTGTACACAGATGAAATTTCCGTGCCGACATATTTGCTTGTGCGTACAGTTTGCAGTACAGCCTCTGAATGTCCTCATCACCCCTGAGATCACTCCTGACCGTGACCACAACACACAGCCGAAGAACAGCTAAAGACTAATTGTGTAATAGTTGGATGAGACCAGAGCGAAGCACAGAGAAATGTCAACAGTGAAGTGGAAGTGTCCTTGCCAAACCCACGCAGAACATTGAAGCAGAACACTGAAGCAGAACATTGAAGCAGGACATTGAAGCAGAACACTGAAGCAGAACATTGAAGCAGAACACTGAAGCAGAACACTGAAGCAGAACACTGAAGCAGAACATTGCAGCAGAACACTGAAGCAGAACACTGAAGCAGGACATTGCAGCAGGACATTGAAGCAGAACATTGAAGCAGAACACTGAAGCAGGACATTGAAGCAGAACACTGAAGCAGAACATTGAAGCAGAACATTGAAGCAGAACATTGAAGCAGAACACTGAAGCAGAACACTGAAGCAGAACATTGAAGCAGAACACTGAAGCAGAACACTGAAGCAGGACATTGAAGCAGAACACTGAAGCAGGACAGTGCTCTGTGCTGAAGGGTTAAACCCATGGCCTTTAGCACAGGGCACTGTGAGCCCTGTGCTAAAGGCCATGGGGTTTAGCACAGGGCTCATAGTGCTTATGACACTATGAGCCTTGTTGTGCACAGCTCATTATGTAAAAACAGAAAACACTCTGTTCCACCTTGTGATGTCATGATGTAATTGAGCTCATCAGACTGCTCAGGTTCAGGAAGTACATTTTTCATTCCTTTTCTCTTAGATGTTTCAATAAATTCAATTTCTAAAAGTTCTGCGTGTGGAGGCTAAGCAGCTACACACTAACTATTATTAACAACACTGTGTTTTAAGCTCAAAAAGGCCATTTAAAGGTGCACTGTGTAACTTTTCTTGTGGAGGGTCCATCAGCTTCTTGTATATGGAGATGTTATTAAACAGCTCTACTTTACAGTTATTCAATCACAAGTAGTTTTATAGTTCAAAAACTAGCTATAACATAAACATTCTGACTGTGAGCGGGGTCGCCTCTCCACAGATCTGACCTGTAACTTGGTCTGGTTCAGTCTCCATCCAAAGTTGTAATGCTACACTCCAGAGAAAGTAATAACATCTCCATGAGGAAAAGTATTTGTTTGACCCTCCACCAGAAAAGTTGCACTTTTACAATGAAACTTTAAAACACAGGATTCACTGAAATGTTGGAATTTGAATCACTTCAGGAGAAATGATAAGTCTTGCGCTCATTCGTCACCACTGAGCTGGTTATATCCATGCTTAAATGTTTCCTATTCATTTTTTACAGAAAATCTATGAGAAAAATGAATGTGAAGTTTAGGGCCGGAACCGAGGGGTCGACGCTCACTGTTGAGCTCTGTACAGGAAGTGCTCCATTGTATTTTTAACTAGAATCATCTGGATGATTTCAGTCCTGGAATTGCTAATCTCTACTGAATTAACATAACTGAAAACTATCACTTCATGACATCACAAGGTGGAACAGAGCATTCTGAGCTTTGGAGATGTAGACAGACTCATAAATAAATAAATAAAACAAGTGTGAAACATGTGAATGAAACAAAACATGACTCCAGGTTTGTTTTTGAGAAGGTAACAACATTTTAACATGTCTTAAAGCTCACAAGAGTCAGTTTAGTGTACAAACAGACAGTGTCAGCAGTCTCCTCCAGTCTCTCTCTACAACCTTCAAATCAGGCAGGAAATCTCGAGGTCATAATGAACTCAAATTTGAACTTTAACAGCCACAACAAATCAGTAACATCTGCAGCCTTTTACCATTTAAAAACAGAGCAAAACTCAAAGGTTTACTGTCTATAGCAGATTTGGAGAGACTTATCCATGTTTGTCTCCAGTAGATTAGACCATTCTTTCCCAAAGACTGGGTTGCGACCCTCCCAAAAATGAAGCCAAAGCACAAAAACAGACTGAAGCTGCTCCTGATCTGCTGCTGCGTCTCCTCCTGCACCGGACTGAACACACTACAGAAACACACACAGGCCCACCTATCTCACCAGAAATGTTCAAATGTTAAGACATGTTTTATATCATTTCTAATCTTTTTGTAATTATTTTATGGACTATTTTGTTCCAATACTGCTGCTTTAATTGAATGTTGAAAAGAAAAACAAATGTTCTACATTTATTGTCTAAATAGGCGACTCATAGATCCTTTTATTGCTGCTTCAGTGACTGTTTTTCATTGTTTCAGACTTAAGTAACATTAATTGTTCAGTGACACAATCAATCAGTCAACAATAAAATATCCTCATTAATGTTCAATAATGATCAAATCCACCTTTATTTTGTGATTTATGAATAATGTCCTTTGACTTGGGTCAGAAGGTTTGTGACTTTTAAAATATGGGTCCCCAGAAAAAAGTTTGGGAAACACTGGGTTAGACTCCTGTAACAGTCTCTCACTGGTCTCTCCAAATGAGCTGCAAGACGCTGCAGAACATCCAGAACACTGCTGCAGATCCTGACTCAAACCAGGAAGTCCAAGCACGTGTCCTGTGCTCAGGTCTCTGCACTGCCCCCTGTGGCACAAGCTCTGCTTGTACAAGTCTCTCCATGACCGAGCACCAAGGCTTCACATGAACCATCTGCACTGTGAGGAGCTCAGGGAGCGACCTCCTGCTGCAGCCCAGAGTCACAACTAAACACAGAGAGTCACAGTTTCACATTCATGCAGCTAAAACCTGGAGCAGTCTGAACATGTGAGACAGACTCGACTCTGACGTTAAATCCAGGCTCAGAACAGTTCTGTTCAGCTGCGTTTGACTGAAAGGTTTTCATTCTGAGCTCTTCTCTCTCATTTAATGTCTCTCGCTTTTTAATTTGATGATGATAATTTATGTTTTGATTTGTTTGTATTGTGATTTGGAGGTATTTCTTATTCTGTAAAGCACTTTGAATTACTTTTTGTACAAACTGTTATACAAATAAACCTGCCCTGCGTTGCCTTGCCTAATATAGGAGCTTTAAATTGTGGTGGTGGTGAATTCGTTGCGCTCGTTTCCCGTGGGACAGAATCGCGTGAAAGCAGAAGTGATCACATGACTGATTTATCCGTGACCTCTGACCCCTGTGGTTGTTATGCGGGTCACTTCCTGGAAACGGTGCGGCGTGCTAAAGGACAAAGTGTATTTATGACTGCAATAACCCAAATGACATTTCCACCTATGGGATGGCAGATAAAAGTGACATGACCCCGCCCCCTGTGGTGACTTTATCGAATCAGGTGTGAGCTCACAGCTGCGTCTCCAAATGTCACGTTTGAACAATAACCGTCAGGAAAACAATAACGCATGAAGCTTTTACAGCAGGACAGTACAGTCCCATTCACACACAGGCACGGCAGGTCAGGTGTCTTGCCTGAGGACACAACAGCGGCATGGTCAGAGCTGGGATCTAACTATCAACTGTAGAATATATGAACGGCCCAGTAGGACAGAGTTTGGATATGATTTAGACCTGGATCAGTCCTGTTTTGGTCTTGGCTGGTTTAGTACTGGTCTA